TGTGTGTGTGTGTGTGTGTGTGTGTGTGTGTGTGTGTGTGCGTGTGTGTGTGTGTGTGTGTGCGTGTGTGTGTGTGTGTGTGTGTGTGTGTGTGCGTGCGTGCTTGCGTGTTCATATGTGTGTGTGCGTGCTCTGATTGCGCCACATCTCATATCCTCACGTCATTTCCGGCACGCTGACCGTTGTCCCCCCCCCCCCAAGGCGTGATGCGGCTGACTGGTGAAATCATGGACTCACTGTCCAAAAACCAGCGAAACTTTGCCCCACCTACCATCGGCATTGGTGAGCGAACCGAAATGACTCGGATGCGTCGCAGTGTGTGTGTGTGTGTGTGTGCGTGCGTGTGCGTGCGTGTGTGTTGTGTGTGTTGTGTGCGTGCGTGTGTGTGTGCATGTGTGTGTGTGTGCTTGTGTGTGTATGTGTGGTATTTCTGCGTTTTGTTCATCCACGCGCGGCTTCGTTCTCACATCAGCTCTGACCACTCCCCATTGCAGCAACATACGGCATTGTGCATGCGGGGGACGATCTTCTCGCTGTACGTGTGACCACCTGCGCATGCATGCGCTCACATGCTGCAGCACCAGTTGCGCGTGTACCACTTCACTTCACACAACGCACACATTCACTCCTCACTGCACCCGATTGTATCCATGTGTTTTGGTGCGTGTGCAGCGCGACAGCAGCCGCTTGCCCAAGCTGGAGGTGCCGTACGACATCACACCGCCGCAGGGATCGAGGAAGGCCGCGCTCGACCCAAACCACAATGTGTTTCTGCTGGTGGATGACGGCACACGTGACAAGTTTGGCAAGGAGATCAAGTTTCGTGCTGCTGTTGAGAGTGTACGTGCCCAGCTCGCAGTGTCTGCATTTGGAAGAAGGGCCGTGCGTTTCTTCAATTTCCGCCGTGTTCATACACGTTCATGCAGGTGTCGTGGCCAACGCTCACGACACACATACACACACACACACACGCGCGCGCGCACACTTACTCACACACTCGCGCACACTCACACACACACTCGCGCACACTCACACACACACACTCGCGCACACTCACACACTCACTCACACACACACACGCACAGGCCACACGCAAGAGGTTCGATGCACCCGTAATCACCGTTGTCATTCAAGGCGGTCCTGGCACCCTCAACACGGCACTGGAAGCGAGTACGTATTATGTCAAATGTGCGCTGCATTTATTGCTGAATGATGATAGCCATTCTGTGACGCACAAGCACTCATCGATCAAGTTTCCGCTGCATTTCACATGCGTGTATGTGTGTGTGTGTGTCTGTCTGTCTGTCCATGTGTGTTTCATTCATCATCCAGTCCGTGAGAACACGCCCATCGTGGTTGTCGACAAGTCTGGCCTCGCTGCAGACGTGCTCGCTTATGCTTACCATTTTTGCCACAGTTCATCGTACGTTTGGTTGTTGAGTCATACATGCATGCATGCAAGTATGGTGTGTGATACCTGTGTGTATGTGTGTGTGTGTCTGACCTTCCTCTCAAACGCCACAACGCTGACATCGTCTGCCAAACCACTCACAAGTCACACGCCACACTGTCATCAGGTCCAAATACACATCACACACCGCAGAGGGGCTGCGTCGCCTCGTCACGGAATCGTTTAACGTCAAAGACCCAAATCCCGCTGAGAAGTACAGGCAGTACTTCTACGACGCGCTCGAATGCGTCGACAACCCGCACCTGGTGGGACTCGGCCATGCACTGATGGGCGGGGAGGGTTTGGGGACACGTGAAATGCTGTGCGCAATGCTGTGCGCAATGCGATTGCCGTGTATGTTTGTGCGTGCGTGTGCGTGTGCGTGTGCGTGCGTGTGTGTGCGTACGTGTGCGTGTGCGTGTGCGTGCGTGTGTGTGTGTGTGTGTGTGTGTGTGTGTGTGTGTGTGTGTGTGTGTGCACTGGGTAATTTCATGCTGTGCTGCTCTATGTTCACTTTACGCACGCGACAAACCGCCGAAGCTCACTGTCGCGTTGGTTGAATGTTCAGGTGCACGTGTTCAACCTTCAGGACAGCGGTCCCGATGAATTTGAAAACTGCATCCTCAATGTACGTTCGTGGTCATGGGCCTGCACTGTTGGAAAATGGTCGAGGTGCTTCTCGCGACACTGCTTCTGCTGGCATACACATCATGTCCTACACATTTACCCATGCCTTCATATCCGCACATGCACACACACATACTCACACAATTACTTACACACACACATGAACACACACGCGCGCGCACGTACGTACACGCAATTTCATACATGCGCATACACACACCTGCCCTCACAAACATGCACGCATATGCACTCATTGCTCGACAGGCCATCTTCAGCAACGAGAGCAACTTGCAGAATCAGCTGAAACAAGGTGTGCTTCATAAAGTGGCAGCACTACCTGCATAGTGCTCCTTTTCCTCGTTGTCACACTGTGCGCCAATCCCACTCGTCCTTCTTTGCTTCTCACTTTGTGTCTCTGTGCTGCCTTCACCTCAACAGCAATGTTTTTCGATCGCCCGGACATTGCAAACAAGGCGCTCACCGCCCGTCGCAAGGAGGCCTTTGTAGGTTTGCTGGCATGGCAGCCCTGATTAGCCCCTCTTGGGCTCCCCAATGTGCACAGTGGTGTCTTCCTTGCCTGCGAACGCGCGCGCGCACACACACACACACACACACACACACACACACACACACACACACACACACACACACACACACACACACACACACACACACACACACACACACACACACACATACGCACACACATACACACACTCACGCGCATGCACACACGCACATGTGCCATCAGGACATCAACGCGAGCCTGCAGGAGGCCCTCGTGTACGACAAGCCGCGCTTCGTCGAGCTGTATCTCACACACGGCGCAAAGATTTCAGAGGTAAGTTGCCTGGCACGTACGCTTCCCCTTGCGCGTTGTGAGTTTCATATGTGTGTCTGGCATGAGCCGGTGACCCACGTTTGTGCAAGTTCACAGTCTCACATACGAACACTCACATACACCACAAACATGCACCTTGCAAAGCTCAAGCCACGTGGCATGCCCGAAAAGGCGCCCGGCCCGCTCGCGAGTCTTCCAGAATATGCAATCGCCGTTGAAGACTTGTACAAGGTGGGCACCGACCATTCCACACAGGCGCTGTTGTTCGCCTATGCTCTCAAATCCATCATACACGTACACAGACACACACACATATGCACACACATGCACACACAGACACACGGCCGCATTCTTTGCTCATTTCCACCTTATGCATCCAACCTTCCCCTGCCCCAACCTTCCACTTGTGCGTCTCCCACTCTTCTGCAGCGCGAGGCCAACAAACCCCACAACCACATCAAACGCCTCGTGTCGTTCTCCAACACGGACGAGCTCGGCCAATCACGTCGCTTCCGTGGCATCAGCATGCGCTTTGGCGGCGACAGCAACAACGGCAAATCTGACGGCGGGCGCCTCTTCAATGTCATACGCATGGGTCGAATTCTCTCGCGGCTTATCCACAAGAACGTGTCGTGAGTACTTGCGATCTGTAGCTGTGTGTGTGTGTGTGTGTGTGTGTGTGTGTGTGTGTGTGTGTGCGTGCGTGCACGCGTGTGTGTGTGTGCGTGCTTGATTGTGCTTGATTGCGTATGATTTGTGTGTGTGTGTGTGTGTGTATGTGATTCGGGTGCTTATATGTGCGTTGTGTGCGTGCGTGAATGTCGCGTGTTCGTTTCATGCAATCGTACCCTCATTGGCAAAAGCTGTGGTCGAAGCAGCAACTCTCTGCACACCATCCCAACAACATTGCCTTACCGTCTTCGTGTATTCATTTCCTCATCCCGTCTTTTGCCCCCCCCCCCAACTTTCTTCCTTCCCCTCACAGGATCGTTGACGAGAAGCGCCTGACCTCCGACAACTCCACGCTCAGCAAGAAAGAGCAAGAGACTTCCGCCCTCCATCTCATCTTCGTGAGTTCACAATATCGACCTACGTTGTGAATTTGTGGATGGTTCGTGTCACCCATCTCTTGGTGCCCTGTTGTCATTTCACGTTGATGGCCAGTCTGATCAGCCAATACAAACACGATCCAATTATGTACATACACCCTACTTCAATGCCAGCCGGTTTCCAGCAGCTTTGTTCATCCGCTCTCAACACCCCATCACATTGTATTGCCTTGTTTCGTCAGCTGTGGGCCGTCTGCCTGGACAAGTTTGAGCTTGCGCGTATGTTCTGGCTGCGCGGGGACCAGTCTATTCTCAATGCGCTGATTGCCAGCCGCCTGCTGTCTGCCCTCAGCCGCCACACTGCCCTCTCCGGCGCGCACTTGCAGGAGGAACGCGAGAAAATGATCATGGATTCAAAGTGAGAACGCAACAGCTTCATGCTTGTGTGTTCTTGTGCTCTTGTGTGTGTGTGTGTGTGTGTATGCTTTGTTGTGTTTTGTGGTTTGTTGTGTTTTGTGGTTTGTTGTTTAGTGGTTTGTGTTTTGTGTTTTGTTGTGTTTTTGTGTTTTGTGTTTTTTTTTTTTTTGTGGGTGCGCGCGCGCGCGGAAACAAGTGTAGCAGAGCGTGTGTTGCAATCATCCGAGGTTTCGCCATATCACCACGTTTTCCTCCGTCCTCTTCTCGCTTCGCTCGCTTCCGTCTTTTAAGGTCCTTTGAGGCACTGGCGATTGGTGTTGTTGATGAATGCTACAACGATGACACCCTGCTCACCCAGAAGATGCTGCATCTGCGTCATCCGCTCTTCCGCTGGGACGCCGTCAGGGTGTGTGTGTGTGTGTGTGTGTGTGTGTGTGTGTGTGTGTGTGTGTGTGTGTGTGTGTGTGTGTGTGTGTGTGTGTGTGTGTGTGTGTGTGTCGCGACTGACTTTCGAGTTTCAAGACCGCATGCTACTTCCTGATAATATTGCATGTGCACAACCTGGCAGCCATGTGCACATGCTCTCAAGCAAACACAAACAGAAAACACGCATACTCACGTGCTACATGTCACACACACACACGCGCGCACGCGCGCGCAAACGCACACACATGGCATTGCGCACAGATGGCGTACGAGACGAATGCGCTTCGCTTCCTGTCGCACACAGCGACACAGTCTGTCGTCAGCAATGACTGGAATGGCGGTCTCAAGCTCATCATGCCCTTCTGGCAGGTGCGGTGCGACCACGCGTCTATGACTTGCACAGCAGCCCACTCTGCGTGTGCGTGTGTGTGTGTGTGTGCCTGTGCCTGTGCCTGTGTGTGTGTGTGTGTGTGTCTGTCTGTGTGTGTGTCTGTCTGTGTGTCTGTGTTCAGGTGCGTCGTGAATGAATGCTCGATTGCCATGTTATTGTAGCTCACACTGTAACGGCAAATTCATACGTGTCCAGGTTGTCCTCGCGTACTTTGTGCCGTTCCTGGTACTGCCCTTCTACGACCTCACATCGGAGGTGCGGATGTTGCACTAGTTGGTGCGCGGTATCCTCATGCATTCTTCAGCTTGCATCTCGGCATGCACACATATACGTGCACACACGGGCACGCAAACAGGCACACAAACGCACCCAGACACATGATTCGCTCACACCTTTTTCGTTCGCGCCAACTACACGCATGCGAGCCCCCTTAACTTTCAAATTGCCACAATCGCATTGATTGGTTGCAGGCAAAACAAGACCAAGACGACGAGCGAGAGCGCCAGACCGGCAGTTACTTCAAAGGCCGTCAGGACGAAGGGGAAGTATTATCCCCCAAGTCATCTCCATCGGCATTTTGGTCCTTTCTCTCTGTCGTTGGCAGATTCTACAGCTCACCCTACATTCGGTATGCGCCCTCGGAATGTGTGCGTGAATGTGTGTGTGTGTGTGAGTGTGTGTGCGTGAATGTGTGTGTGTGTGTGTGTGTGTGCGTGTGTGTATGTGTGTGTGTGTGTATCACTGACATGTTTCGTTATGTTCCTCATGACGCCGTATCGCTCCTCCTCGACCAAACACACACGCAGCGACAAACAGATTTGTGTCGGACGTGCTGTCCCCATCTCGTGCTGTGCATTTTCTTTCCTCTAATACGTCTCGACGGCCTGACCGACGGCCTCTCAGCTAGTGGAACTCCTCTTCATCATCTTGTTTGGCAGTCTCTCTGTTGAAGAAGGCCGGCAGGTGCGTCCCTGTGTGTGTGTGTGTGTGTGTGTGTGTGTGTGTGTGTGTGTGTGTGTGTGTGTGTGTGTGTGTGTGTGTGTGTGTGTGTGTGTGTGTGTGTGTGTGTGGAGATGTGTGTATGTGTGTGTGTGTGTGCTCTGTGTGTGTGTGTGTGCCTTTGTGTGTTTGCCTACATGCGTGCCTATGTCTTGTCTCTGCTTGTTTGTGTCTATCTGGCTACCTCTGCCAATCAGTCGTCTGCCTCTGTTGCTGTCACTGCGGCTGCAACTTTCCAATCTTGAATGCATTCAAACCTCCACTGCTCTCTCCAATCGTGTCCCGCCCCATGACCACAGCTGCTGATTGCTGCGCGCTGGGAGGAGTACATTGCAGACACGTGGAACCGCCTGGATGTCGCATCCATCCTGCTCTATTTTGTCGGACTCGCCATCCGCCTGACAGACTTGCATGATGAACGTTCAAGGGTGCGTAAGCCAAGCATGGGGAGGGACGGATGGCATCTGCACCGCTTGCGTGTGTTTGCTCCCGCACACAAGCCTCCGCGTACACACACACACACACATACACGTACACACATACATGCAGATTGTGACCAAGACGGTGCACGCGTTTCTGGCTGTAAACCTGTGGCTTCGCCTGATGCGTTACTACGCTGTGGACCACAACCTCGGCCCAAAGCTCATCATGATGGCTGAGATGACGAAGGATGTCACAACTTTCGTCTTTCTCCTCCTCATCTTCCTCGTTGGTGTGTGCGTGCGTGCGTGCGTGCGTGCGTGCGTGCGTGCGTGCGTGCGTGCGTGCGTGCGTGCGTGCGTGCGTGCGTGCGTGCGTGCGTGCGTGCGTGTGTGCGTGCGTGTGTGTGTGTGTGTGTGTGTGTGTGTGTGTGTGTGTGTGTGTGTGTGTGTGTGTGTGTGTGTGTGTGTGTGTGTGTGTGCGTGAATGTGCAGTGCGCTTTTTCCATGCGTTCCTCAATCTCACCACCAGCTGCCACCCACCTCACAACAAATGTTCCGTCGCTGGTTTAGGGTACGGCGTGGCTGCCCAGGTGTTGCTGTTCCCGCAGACGCCGTTCACGGAGGAGAAGTTTGTGAACGTGCTCTTTAAGCCCTACTTTCAGATCTACGGCGAGCTGTTCATCGATGACATCAACAACGACTCTGGCTGTGTTGGCTTCTACCCGTTTTCCGCCTGCGGCCGAGACGTAAGACCACATGTGTGTGCGTGTTTGTTTGTTCGTGTGTGTGTGTGTGTGTGTGTGTGTGTGTGTGTGTGTGTGTGTGTGTGCGTGTGTGCGTGTGTGTGCGTGTGTGTGCGTGTGTGTGTGTAAGCATGCGCGCCTCTTCTTTCTGAACCTGTCCCTTCCATGCACCGTGCACCACTGCACTCGTGACGTTTCTCTCACTTGTCGCCCATGCTCCAACTACATGCTCGCGCTGCCGCGACTGCTGGCACTTTCACGCAGGAGGTGCGCATTCTTCCCATTTTCTTGGCCATCTACGTCCTCATCACCAACATCTTGCTCGTCAACCTCCTCATCGGTATGCCCTCTGCTTCCCTTGCGGCAACATGTGCAGTGTTTTCGCAGTATTGAGGCAATGTTGCCATTTGGTGCATTGTTGTTGTTTTGGTCGTTTCGCTGTTCAGTTCGCCGCCTCTCCACACCTTTCCGCACTTCCATGCAGCCTGATATCGTGCCCGCTCACGTTGCACTGCTCCACTTGTCATGTTGTGTCTGTTGGCCTGCGCACACCACATTGCAGCCATGTTCAACGACACGTACACCAAAGTGCAGGAGGATGCAGAGGCGCTTTGGCGCCAGCAGAACTATGGTACGGGGCTGAGGGGGCGGGCAGGGTGCCACGCACACTTGATGGCATGAAGACATGCATGTGACACAACAACGCAACTATACATACGCTCACACACACACACACGCACACAGGCAAACACAGGCAAACACATGCACACACGCACACACGCACACACGCACGTACACGTTAACTGCTCACCTGTTACACATGATCGCGCCTGCGTGTCATGCGCCCATGCAGAGCTGTATTTGGAGAATGTGCACCGCCCTCTGCTTCCTGCGCCCTTCATCCTCATCTCGCACATTCGTCGGGCGTACTCGCGCTGGGTGCACGGCCCCATCTCGAGTGTTGTGGGCCTGTGCCGTGGCTGCTGCCCAACCTGCATGTGCAAGGCCTGTTGTTGCAGCTGCGCCGCTGCACAGAGCGAAAGCGACGACACGCAGCAACTGAACACGAGCGGTGTGAGCCTGGGCAGCAGCAGTGTCGCAGGCGTGGAGGCAGCCAGCAGCTCATTCCCGCGCCATCTCATTGACTTTGAGGAGCACAACGCCGACCGGTTTGTGGCCAAGCAGGAGCGCGAGCGCAACGACTCTGTGGAGAACTGCGTGCGGACCACGCGGGATGGCATGGACAAAGCGCATCAGCTCATCACTGCCATCCTGGAGCACGTGGTGGCGTTCCGGTCCGCAAACACGAGCGCAAGCGTCACGGTCATGCGTCCCACAGACAATGGAATGGAGGAGACACGTCCAGGCCGCATGCGCGCTGGGGTCAGTTGAAGATGGAGTCTTGTGCGTGCATACACACACGCGCGTGTGTGTGTGTCTGTCTAGCTGTCTGTCTGTGTGTGTGTATGTGTGTGTGTGTGTGTGGTGTGGTCGTGGTGTGTGTGTGTGTGTGTGTTTGTGGTGTGTGCGTGGTGTGTGCGTGTGTGTGTGTGTGTGTGCGTGTGCGTCTGTCTGTGTGAGTGCGAGTCTGTCTGTCTGTGTACGTGTGTCTGTGTTTGCGTCCGTCTGTGCACCGCCTCTGCTTGCCCCTGCATTGTCTGTTTTGCTTCGCGGTCACTGAACGTTCACGCTAACGCACGAATGATTGTTGAACCCCCCATACTTCCATGACACACCTGCAGGTGTTTGACAAGCCACGTCTGCACTACCTGCCCCCAGAGCAGTATCCAGGATCGAACGGCGTGAAGCGCTTTGTGATCGATCCATCACAAGTCCCCTGGGACGTGGAGTGCCCGTCGTACGAGCCTGTGGAATACACGGCTCCAAACGTGGCGGCGCAGCCTGAGTGGGCGGATCCCGCCGACCCTCGCAAGATCAAGTTCAACGCCAAAGATAAGGTGGAGGACAAGGTGGTTGATCGCACGTCGTGCCACCGCACCAAGTTCCATGTTGATGAGGACACGGGCCGCCCCATCAACCCGTGGGGACGCACGGGAATGACGGGGAGAGGAAACTTGGGCAAGTGGGGCGTGAACCAGGCAGCGGACACGGTGGTGACGCGGTGGAAGCGGTCACCAGACGGCAGCATCCTGGAGCGCGACGGCAAGAAGGTGCTTGAGTTTGTGGCCATTCAGCGAAAGGACAACAGCATGTGGGCCATCCCAGGTGGCTTTGTCGACAACGGGGAGGACGTCGCCCTGACCAGCGGCCGCGAGTTTATGGAGGAGGCCCTCGGCACCAAAGACAAGCGCACCAAGCTGTCGGAGGAAGAAGAGTCATCTGTGGCTTCCCTGTTTGCCGACGGCACGATTGTGGGCCGCATCTACAGCGAGGATCCGCGCAACACGGACAATGCGTGGGTGGAGACGACGTGCATCAACTTCCATGACGACGCAGGCCGTCGCGCTGCTAAGCTAAAGCTCCAAGGCGGCGACGACGCAAAGAAGGCGCGCTGGATGATGGTGCATGGCGGCCTCAAACTCTTTGCTTCCCATCTCAAGCTCCTTACCCTTGTCGCCGACTCTCTCAACGCATACATGTAGTGTATGAGAGAGTGTGTGTGTGCATGTGTGCT